ACACACACACACACACACACACACACACACACACACACACACACACACACACACACACGCGCGCGCACACACACACACACACACACACACACACAATCAGTTTTATGCATGTTTTTTTTCTACGTACTTTCTGTGTCTGAGTAAGCACGTCTAAGAAGTGCTAAACAGCCAGTGGCGAATTGCTTGGAGTGCCTGTAACACTATTAGGGGAGGCGCTCAGCTCAGGGTGTCTGCGGGTCCAGTTCCATGCATGATGAGAGGCATTGTCAGAGGGGCTTCCTGGCTCAGCGGCTGGTGGGAAGCAACAGATTGCGGGTTTTGACTTATGGTGTGAGGAACTGATACTCAGTATGCTTCGGTCTATGTTGGATGTGTGGACTGCCTTGCCTGCACTCCTCCGCTGCGTTGCTGCCCACCCACTTGCCATGTCTTTCCCTGTACCTTACCTGTTTCCCCTGTAGTTTGGTTGCCTTGTCAGAGCTGCTTTGTGCTGTGCTGCATCTGTGCCTTGCTGCCCATCCACGTCCCTGGCCTTCTGTTCATTCTGCTAGTGTGCGGTTTATAGTTAGGCTGCTTTGGCAGTGCCGCCTTGTGCTTCACTGTATTGGGCTACCCCATTAGTGTATGGTTCGGCTGCTTTGGCAGTGCCACCTTGTGTTTCACTGTGTTGTTGCCTTGATTCGATGCAGTTAACTTTGGTGCTGTGTAGTTGGGCTGCCCCGCTAGCGTTGCCTAGTGCTTCGCTCAGGCGTTGCCTTGCTGCCATGTTCGGTCATTGCCTTGCTGCCATGTTCGGCTTGTGGTGTTCGCTGCAGGCCGTTCGCTTTCAACAGGGGTTAAAGAATCCATGACTAAGGCATCAATACGGAGTTTCTCCAGATTGCCGAGGGTTCATCCTTTGATGAATCGGTGCAAATCTGATAAAACAGTTGGTCATTGTTGTTTTCTTGACTTCATTTTTTTCTTTTCTATTTCTTTTCAGTCTCATACTTGTGTTCTTTACTGTCTTCCACCCGTTTGACATCCAGCCTCTCCACTACTCAGTTCAGAATTTTCTTCTTTGTGCATGATCCATCCATCGGTCCACCTGTCCGTCCTGTCCGAGCAGGTGGGTGAGCGGAAGGGCGATGAGTCAGTCATTCGGTTGGTCAATCGGCCTTTCAGACAGGCTGTCTGGCTGGCTTAGGCAGTCGGTCCATCTGTCCATCCATCCATCCGGGCGGGTGTCCACACAAGCGGGCGGGCGGGCGGGCTGGGCGGGCGAGCAGGCAGGTGGTCAGTTGGTCGGTCAGTCATCAGGCGCACGGGCGGACGGTCAGTCAGTTGGTCAGCCTTTCTGGCTGGCTGCCTGTCTGCCTAGCTGCCTGGCTGCCTAGCTGGACAGTCGATTGGATGGTCGATAGGTCCATTGGTCAATTGGCTGGTTGGTTGGACTTTCAGCCTTTACATATTCCGCATATTTGGCTGGCTGGCTGGATGGATGGCTGGCTTGCCCAGCCAGCTGGCTGGATGGATGGCTGGCTTGCCCAGCCAGCTGGCTGGATGGATGGCTGGCTTGCCCAGTCAGTTGGTCCATCCATCCGTCCCTTCGTTCGGGCAGGTGTCCAGGCAGGCGGGTGGTCGTTCGGCCCTTCTGCCTTTCCGCCTTTCTGGCTGGCTTCCTGGCTGCCTGCCCTTCTTCCTGCCTGCCCGCCTACCTGCCTGCCTCCCTGGTTGGCTGGCTGGATGCCTGCCTGCTTGCTTGGCTGCTTGCCTGCCTGGCTGGTCGGTGAATGCTTGGCCGCCTGCCTGCCTGCCTGCCCGCCTACCTGCCTGGCTTGCTGCCTGCCTGGCTGCCTGTCGTCCTGACTGGGGGGTGGCCCT